AATAAATAACAGCCCCTGCTCACTGGCACACTTGTTCCCAAAAGATTCATTGAGCATTTGCTCTTTGGAAGGCCCTGGGTTAACGGAGACACTAGGGTAAGACAGACACACCCCTGCCCTTAGGATGATAGAGTCTAGGAGCCGCAGTCATATAATTTCGGTGGTGAGATGTCCTCTAAGTTCTAAAGAACAAATGACAGAAAGGTTGAAGGGTGGTGCTTTTGGTGAGAGCAGTGGGGTGTAGGTGCCCTGAGCCAGGGCACTTTGGGGCTTTGGGAAACTGCAGTTCCTTTTGTGGGAGTTGGTTGTAATGAAGCTGGGTGGTGGCAGGGACCAGACTCTCAGACCATGTGACTCGTGACTTAGGGCTGAGAGCAAAGTCTGGAAGGGAGAACTGTCCTGAGCAGTTCCTTCTGGATGGTGAGCAAAGCAGAGAGGAATCTTCCCTTGGGGCAGGTGTGGAAGGTGTCCTGTGCTCTTGTCCCACTTCAGCTGAGCACAGTGCAAGAACCAGGTGATCGATAATCATCCTCTGCAGGGATTTCCTGAGAGATAAGGGTGAATCTCCCATGAAGTGAGGCCAGTACGGGCACTGGCCAGGTGTTCATCTGCCCGGCTGGGAGAACCAGAGCTGACTCTATTAAAATGTCATTTTACTTAGGTTATCTCCAGTGTAATTTGGCCAATTGTAAGCAAATATGGGGGATTCGCAATGCCCCCGATCTAACCGGGCCCAGGGCAGTGTGCGCTGCAACAGATGGGAGAGACAATGACATGGGCAAAAAAAGTAAGGTGAAAGGCTGCGGTGAAGATCAGGGGACCACCAGCATTCCCGTGAGACAGGTGAAACTGACTGAAGTCTAGCACCCGTTTTTATTCTCTTTTTCATGCTATAGATTACAATGATTTCACTTGAAAGCTCGTGGGTTACAATGTGTAGAAGTCTCAAGTCTCCCCTAATAGTCACAAGATTTCTTAGCTAATTACTCTTTTATCTATAGAAGCAGGAACACATAGCTCATTACAGAGCCCAACTACACCTTAAGGTGTGTATAGATAGTGTCTCTGAACTCAGCAGCTGTGGCCCATTCGATTGAGGAACAAAGAGATTAGTACTTCTTATTGGGAAGTAGCTCCCGATTAACTTAGGCGTTCTACTGAGAAAGGGGAGGGAAGGAACTCAACAGGGTGTTTTTAAGAATTGGATCCTGTGTCCCTTCTCCCAGGCTGACATTTTGCAATCTTCCTTTACAGCCATGGGTGGCTTTCATGTCAAGCCGCTCTGCAGCTCATGAGGCTTTAAGGTGGGAGTCTGCTTTGCTGTACTTTCGGATCGCTGGAATGTCCCCCAACTAGGCTGTTAACTTCTACCCTTATCTTTGGCTCCCACTCAGGCAGCATTCCTTCACCTCCTCTCCTCCCAAAGCCTCAGAATTGGGGTCCCTCAGCCCCGGTGATCTTAT